TGAAACAGTCAATTGATGTTTTTTATAATCCGCCATTTATCTGCTATTATAATAGCAACACGCCACCTGGCTTTTAAATAGGGCTGCAACCAACAATTGTTTCATTATCGACTAATCTGCTGACTATTTTCATGATTAATCGGCTAATCGTCTATAAAATGTCAAGAAATTGTGAAAAATGCTCATCACAATTTTTCCAGAGCCCAAAGTGACATCTTCAAATTGCTTCTTTGATCCAACCAACAGTCCAAAACCCAAAGACTCTTCATTTACTATCATAAATGAAAAAGAATCGCAGCAATTCCTCAATTTAAGAAGATGAAACCAGCACCTGAAGTGATTAATTGATTATCAAAATAATTTTCATTTGACCGACAAATCGAATAATCAACTAATCATTTCGGCCCTGCTTTTAAAGGGAACGATCAATCTCAGGAATGCTCCTGTTCTTACGCTCCTGTCCACTCCCTAGATCTTTCAATCCATCTGTAAATATTAGCATATAATAATTCCTCTTCACATAATCTTGAACCAAATGTCCTATAGTATTCACATTCCTTTGACTCCATTCTCTCTTCTTCTCTTAAAGTCCACTTTGGGCACAGGAAATATCCTCGGAGGACAGCATTTAGTCCATAATCTAACCTGTTTAATCTGTATCCTTCTGCTACTGCATTAGTATTCCAACCAAATATTTACCTTTCAGTTGTTGTGAATATTCCTAACAATCACACATAACCTTTGCTACTGGCTGTTCCTCTCCAGATCTCTTTAACTTAAGCCAATATACCAGTGCCAACTTTGAACGTCTTCAATATAATGGTAACAGTGCATTAGTAGGGGTTGTTTTAACTGCACCTATACTGAGTCTTAGAGCTCTGAACTGTTTTCAGTTTAGTTTTTCTAACACACTCTTGGCTGCTGCTCCTTTTATCTGCTCCCCATTGATAACCAGAAACGGATCTCATGAGAGTTAGTACCTTTTTACATTTAGTTTCAACCTGTTTGTGATTCCTCCATACACATTTCATTCACAAAACCATACTTGAACTCTTTTACCCTTTGTACAATTTAAGCTGCACATTATTAATATTCCTTTTCCTGGTAAAAAAACATATTGCATGACTCTTAAATCCCAAATTATTTGACCATCTTTCAACCTTCAGTACAGCACTCTGAATGCTAGTAGTCACTTGTATAATGTTTTTCACTCTTTTCCTTATAGCCCCATCATCTGCATAATGATGATGACATAATATCAACCAACATCTATACTCATACTCTTTACAGTATCAGAATCATCTGAAACAGCATCTCCAACTTGCCCGGTTAGACAGGAAGCCTAAATCCCATTTGTATAGCCTTCCGCCATTACCCATTATATGCATTTTTATCAATAGTCCTTCTCTCCACATTGAGTAATAATTTCAAAATACACTACAGCATGACCTCTTTCATACAAACCGGCTTTTCTGCCTCATTGCTGACTTTAATAGAGAGTCTACTGTAGATCTTTCTTTATGAAATCCACTTTGATATGTTTAGAAATCCTCTTTGTTCTAACTAGTATGACAATCTACCAACTATTATCCTTTCCATCCATTTACACAAGACAGTAGTTAATGCTCTGTAGTTTCCTGCATTAGCTGTGTCTTTACCAGGCTCACCAAAATCCAATATCAGAGCACTTTTCCGGCATATATCAGGCATATGATCGAACTGCCCACGAACAGCACTTAGGGAAAGCAAACCTTTCACCTCTTCCTTTGGGGTCTATTCAGCCTTCTGTTGAGAGTTCTGCATCTTCTAATTTGAGTCTCCAAATTATTTGATATAAAATACACAAATCCACACTGTTTGTTCACAACATAACATAACATAACATAGTTGATCTTGTCCTGGAGCTGTAGCCATGTACCAGGTAAAATATACACATAAAACACACCAACAATGTTGACTGCAGAAATCA